CCTGTATATTTATGTAAATTTTGAAAAACTTTTTAAAATTTCTTTTCCTTTTTTATTATTACTAGAAACGATGAAACGCGCGCTTCGCGCGCGCAGTTTGTGGTCAAGCATTGTATGCGCAATGTCAATTTAAAATAAAAAGTAATTTGTCACTCACTGATACGGTTCGCAACAGCGTATACATGTTAAACTGTAACAATACAAAAATGTATACGATTATTATAGACTAATTATGTAAAATCCAGACTATTGTGTTAAATATACTTTATATTTAATATTTTTGAAAATAGGTATTTATTAAAACAATTATATAGAATACTGAAAGTCTTCCTTTTAAATATGAACTCACAAAATTTTATACGTATGGTTTTGTCTCTAACACTTATTCGAATGCTCATTGGAATCATTTGAATAAATAAAATAAAAGCAGCTGGACCCAGGCAAATGGCCACTTTTAATTTCATATTGTATTCCGGTTTTGATGACAAAAGAGCAAATAACGACGTTGTTCCCATTGAATGACCAATATAATATAAATCTTTTTGCCTTGTATAATTGAGAATGTAACTTAACATGACCGGCAGATCTTTTGTTCCACCCTCGTGAAAGCTGTAAAATAAGAATTTTACAAATATATTTTCTCACTTTTGCCTCCCTCCATTACAAATGCACGCAATCAATTTGCAGTAAGAAACCAAGTAAAAAAATTTATAATCCTACTGATAGAATTCGAATAAGGAAATACCACGCAAAGTCTAACATTTAGAAAACATGTTATAAGTATTCTTTTTTCATCTTTCTTCTTTCTTCTTTCTTCAACTTTTTTCATGTACAGTATATGTATACTTTACTTTTTATTGTATACTCTTAGAAATTCCGGACTTTGTCTTCATATTACTTGTCAGGCATATTCATTCAGTACAAGTAACAATTACATTATCATTTCATAAATATCTCTCAACTTCAAGTAGCTTGTACTTTAAGTGTAAAAAAATTTTTTAACTTAATCCAGCGTTTCTTTAAAATAATTTTAAATAGTAATGGTTTTACCTATACTGCCAGAATTTGGGATCGTATATCGTCATATTCACATGTGATCTGCAGTAACTATTCCCTCTCATATTTCCAACCCACACATCATATCCTTGATCTGCTAATAAAAATGCTGCAAAATATGATAATAATAAGCTAATGTAGGATGTAGTAAATATATAGTTATTTTGTATAGTATGGTAGTATAAGGGCCTGTGTGAATGAGACGTACTCGTATGGTGATTGGCAGAAGATGTTTGCTTAGTTTCAGTTGGTAGAGAGCCGAGTTTACTTTTGAGACTGTTCTTTGTACTTGCTCCTCCCATGAGAGTGTGTCCATTATAAGGATGCCCAAGTATTCCACTGAGTCAACGTACCCAATCACGGTTCCTTGGACATTGATGTGCTGCAATGCTTCATACTTTAAATTGTTTAAGTAGCACCGCGTTCCCACAATCATAGGCTTTGTTTTCTTGGGATTGAGAATCAGGCTGTTTTCAATTGCCCGCTTGACTAGTCTGTTTATGTCTTCGTTGATCTTGTGCACAGTGTCATGTAGCTATTGGGGATCACTGTGAGCATAGATCAGCATATCGTCTGCGTATATGTTGTACTTGCAGTGCTGCAAAACCATGCTGAAGTCTTTTAAGGGGAGAAACCACATTAGGAGGCTGTTTTTCAGAGATTTTCTAAAATTATATTAAGTAAATTAATTCTTTAAAAAGAAAAATTAATTCTATACCATTCTCTCGCTTAGTACAATTTTTTACTACATTTTTTAATAACAGTACAAATTGTTACAAACGTACAAGTTGATATAATGATGTTTATAACAATATATGTATATGCGTTTATTATTTAAAAACTTAAAGTTAATATTAAAGTGCTCATACTATGTGTGATATAGGGAAACCCGGGGCATAACGGAACGGCGGGGCATAATGGGATATGATCTATAACTTTTTACAGAAGTGCTGTTATGTATTGAAATATTTTGCAATTATTGCTATTAGATGATCCTTATCGCATGTT